TAAAGTTTGAATAAATACTATCAGATATAACTGTGTTTCTTTATTTTATAGTCCATTTTTGTCTTTTTTGTGTTTGTATGTAGTATACGGTATTTATGTTACCTGGGAGATAATCCACATGTGCAAATACGTTTGTTATTGCCACTTTTTGCTCGTCATATTCGGGGTAGGAAGTGCGTTACAGTCATGGCAGTTGTGGCCTTGTTGCCCCTCTTCACGCGGCCATGCTTGCTGAGTGCGATGTAGGATCCTCTGTAAACCAGAGACTCGTAGGCGTTGTAATTGTTCGCGAGCAAGCTCTCCTTGAACTTGCATTCGTCGTGGAAGACTGTCTGGAGGCGACAAAGAGACAGGACATGCTTTACAACGAGCTGCTCGACACAAATGCAAACAGAGACACAAGTTTGAAGCTTAAATAAGACTGTGAGCAATGAACAGTAATAAAAACAGTGAAATCTCACTGTTGTGGGTTTTAAAGAATCATTTTTTCAGTTGTTTGTGTTACTTCGCTGCAATGCTGTGCACTCAAAAAATGATTTTTGGATTTACTTTAAACAGTTATGTCAAATCCAATTCAATTTTATTTATACAGCTCCAAATCACAACAACAGTCGCCTCAAGGCGCTTTATACTGTAAGGTAGGCCCTACAACAATGAACAATGACCCCCTATGAGCAGCACTTTGGCGACAGTGGGAAGGAAAAACTCCCTTTTAACAGGAAGAAACCTCCGGCACAACCAGGCTCAGGGAGGGGCTGCTTCCACCTGACTGTGTTTAGTAACTATAAAGAATTAAACGTGTTTTACTCCAAAATGCTGTCCTGACTAAATGAAAAGCCACTGCAGCTCTGTGGAACCACCCAGCGGAGCTTTTTTAATGTCAGCCGGTAACTTGAAAACTCAATAAGTCATTGAAGGTTTCAGGTTTTTATTATTACCCATACTAGGCCTTGCTCCCACTTTCTGCTATCAATCTGATCTAACTCCAAATCTTGCAAGTATTGCTTTCTGAGATGCAATATTTCAGACCTAAAACCTCCAGCAAATATTCTCAAATAAATAAAATAAGAACAATTTTGGAGACAAAACTGCTCGTCTTTGAATATCTGACACTGTGAAATATCTGACCCTTCTCTGCTGTGCTGAGCTGGCTATGCATGACTTGCACAGTGTGCAACAGTCACACTCGCCATCAGAGACCATGTGGCCTAATTCAGTCTCTTATCAGATCATCACCATGCTCTCAAGCTAACGCTTCATCACTCATGACCAGATAAGTGATTCACATTCTGTCTGTCAAATATGTTTTCCACAATCACATTCATGTGTCAGCAGGGCTCCACTAAACATAATGTTCCTTCCCGCACCACTCGGAGCTAATAACTGTCATCAATGTGCTTAAAAGCAAACCGATCACGTCAGCTCAAACAAGCACGTGTTTCCTGTCTGATAAGGTCATTAAAAGGATGGCATGTGGGAGAATCTGATAACAGCATCGACCAAGAGTCGTTTCTATGCCCCACTTTTGTTTATAAATAAACACAGAGCAGATGAGGAGTTCAGTGACGAACTAAATAAAAGGAATGTAAACTGTGCTCTAGCTACCATCACATTGGGAATGTGAGGTCATTGGGCAATAATAAGATGCACAAGCTTGAAACTCTGATTAAGACCCAGAGTACTCCAGTTATCCAAGTCAAGCAATGGAGGAGATGATGGAGTTGCAAAACACTAAAAGGAAGAATTATAAAGCATCTGATGAGGTCCTCAGGCAATAAAATGCTCAACCTCAGAGAATCAGAGGATATAAAATATATCAAATACAAGACTTGAGCTGACAGCTATCAATAAAAACCCTGATGAAACTCAGAGGTTTCCATGTGTCACCTTGCTTGCCATGTTGAAAGAAAACCTGCTCTACCTCAAGGCATCTTCAGCGCCTTTAAAACACTGAGTCATTTTGTTTTATTGGATCCTGAATCCATATTTTCAAAAGACCACAAAGGAGAACAAGCAAACAAAGTCATGAGTAATAACTGCCAGGAAACTCTTAAGAACAGATTGTCTTTTGTAGAATTAAATGTTTAACAAGAGAAATAAAGTGAACATGTTTGAAGGGCAGGATTATGGAGGCCTGTGGAAGGTGCTGCCCATGTGCCTCTCAACATGTGTGTGCTGCGCCATTTGCCATTAAAATCGATTTTCAACTGTGCTGACAGGTTTCTTGTCACCAGGGGGGTTTCCCTCCTCCTCTTGCTCTCTTTCTCTCTGACCGACCCACACACACACACACACACACACACACACACACACACACACACACACACACACACACACGGTACAGCCCTGTGATCTAAATCCCTCATCTGTTAACCTCATCATTATTTACCCATCGGCCAACAGGCCTCGCACACTTGCTTTAAATATAGCTTTAGAAATTCCTGATGAAACTGAAATATAGGTTTCGCAGGCTGTAGCGTGCAGCTCCCCTGCAGCCACATAAGGCAAGAGTCTCTTTCCAATTTATGACAGGCAAACAGAAAAAAGGCGGATCGAGCTCCAAGTGCGTCCTGATTTCAGGATCCAATTAACCAACAGTGCTGAACAATAAACGAAATACTGTGCATACCTACCGTTCCGTATAACCTCCCACGGCTGTTCATTGCGACAAACAGCTCACTCTTCACTCCATATAGGCTCACCACTCCTCTCTCCACCGTCGAGATCTCTATTAGACCTGATACATGACAAAGATGCGTTACGTTAGAGTGAGCAGTGAGGTACATACCAAAGGAGCATCCTGGCTAAGTGCGTGCGTTTTGCCACTGTAGCATTGTGCTTTCTCTGCGTCTATGGGTGTAACCTTGCAGGTTGCTGCGCAGCATGCCGAGCCTTTGTTCTGCATCTTTCACCCCATCTTCCATTTGCATCCAGGCGCATTAATTTAGCGCATTGTGGTTATCGCAATAATAGCTGTCCTAATTGCACGGCGTGCACGGCTATTGGTCTCCCGGACCGCCCTCAGAGGGCTGCGTAAAAATAAGTTGTGTCTAAAAGCGTCCATACATTCGTGACATGGTTGAGCTGGAGGAGGAGGGGGAGGAAGAGGGGTTTTCAGTACTGATGGATACGTGCTTTAACAGATTTGTCTTTGCCGTGGAAGAAATTCAGTTCTCTCCCCGACTCGGATGAGACGCGATCATGCAAATGAATAGAGGGGATAGACTAGCCTGCTCATCGCAGATCCATGCTTATTGACCGTCTCTCTTTTATGTCTATTGCATTACATTGGTGGAGATATAACTCACTGTACTGGTTTTCATTATGTACACCGTTTATCCTGCCGTCGGGGAGGATCTGAAGGTGAAACCCGATGCCCACGTTGCAGTAGAGCCTCCGCACTCTTTTGATGCCCAGCAGATAGTCACTCTCCCAATTCAGCTCCGGTTTCTCTCCGGAGATCCCGAGCACAGAGCGCGAGAAGAGGGTCTCCCATCGTTTCTCCAGTAAAGTTGCATTTGTCCTGCTGCTCGGTAAAGGGTACGCTGACACGATCCCCAGCAGAAAGCCCAGGAGAACCACTGCGGTCAGCGTCCAGTGCGGCGTGCCGGCCTCGCAGGACATACTGACGAGGAGCCTTTGCGCAACGGCCATCCGGTTTACCTTCGGGCCACGTGGTCAAAATTAATGACCCTAAAAATACCGCTCTTCTTGTTTTGCTTCCTTCGGCATGCTGACTGAGGGTTATTTTTGGAGCACAGATCAGTGCTCTGGGCATGAAACGCAAGCCCCGGTGCAGACGAGGAGAGGAGACGGGAGAGTGCGCGGCAGAGCTGGAGGTGATGGTGATGGTGATGTTGGTGGTGGTGGTGGTGATTACCATGTTTTGCAGCTCCCCCGCGCCCCTCTCTCTCACACACTCACTCTCTCTCTCCCTTTTCTGACAGCCTCTCTCTCTCGGTAAGAGTTCAGAATATTGCGCTCACCAAAAACCCTTCAACCTCGCCAAGACTATCGCATCCCTAGATGACATCATGCTGACTTCACCCGCAGGGTTATTGCAAAGGCAGAAAAAACAGCAGGTCTGTGGAGATGTGAGGGGGATAGCTGCTGTTTCTGCCTAACTGGAAGAGAAGAAAGCTTATTGGCGTTCCGCGGTATGGGACGCGACGGGCACTCGGGCTGCTCCCAAATTGGGTCGGTGGTCATATGTCTACCCGATCGCTTCCTTATTTAGAAGGAAGGTGTAAAAACAGGCCCACTTGTCACCGGAGAGCAATGACAGGGCTCTTGTGCTGGTCGCTCTTCTTTCCTGCCACGTTTAAGACTTTTCCCCAGCAAATCTAGGCTTTTTTAAGCCTAAACTGAAATGTCAGCTGGGCCAGAGAGCCAGCGGGGAGCTCGCACCAATCAACGGCAAAGATCAAGGTTCAAGCCTTCAGTGCAGGCTAGCATCCGCCCCCCTGACCTTGAACAAGACACTGAGCGCCTCTGAACTCAACAGCACGACCGGGTAACGGAGGCCCAACGTGTCATTTTAATCATGTCAGGTTTTTCCACGTATACCCTAAGCCGTGCATTTCTCACGGCGCATTCGTGAGAACTACGAGGAGCACTGGAGAGGCCCGTCACGAAACGGCGCACATTGTCGGCGTGCCATTCCGTGTAACATGAAAGCCTGTCGTCTTTTCCATGTAATGGATAATGCCACCAACAGTATGTCCATGCGTCAGTGAGCCCAACGCAGCTGCGCACCAACAGCTCTCTCGCACACATCAGTTCCCCAAGATTTCCAAAGGATGGCACCATTTCCAAGTTCATTTGTAGCGCTCATGTCTTTAAGCTTCGGCTTTGGCAGAATTGTGGACGCTGTAAACGGCTCATTTAAATAAATGATCCAGAACTTGTTTCAGATTTAATTAAAGAAACGCTTCTGACCTCTGTCATGTAATGTTTGATTTTTAAACACTGTCGCATGAAGGACCAAAGACACCACCTCATTGAAAACGCAGATCTTTTATTTTGTATAAAATCTATTTGGTAACTGCACATTTATACACAGCCTGACAGGTGTACAGTTAAAATGATATAAACTCTGAAATAAGTAGCTGAAGTCATGTGATAAAACAGAAAATCAAAAACAACTTCTGGCCTTAAATCACTAAGTCACTTTGTTTTAATACAAGGAGAACATCTCCACTCATCCAGTTACAGACAACTGCAGTTAACGGAAACTGTTTATTGACCACTGATGAGACGTATGACCCCGACGAATCACTGCTGACAAAGGACACGATTTCTTAAATGAACCATGAAAACAGAAAAAGAAACTCAAACCATGTCACTTGTGTAAAGGGCTTAACAGACCTCAGCAACGAGCTCTGCAGTGTCCCCAAAGCCAACAGAGGGGGTGAAATGGGTAATATTAAAATAAATTACAGCTTTATGAATGCTTCTATAACACATCTATACAAATAATTTATTTTCACAGAAAGAGCCTTCACCCCTGCACCTGTGACAGATGCCGAAAAAAAAAGTCCAATAGTTTTAATACATGCTATATTGTAATAGAAGCATAATAAATAAATACATATGTACAAAACATGTTTGGAAAATGTACAGGCACTTGTAAAACAACCTTTCAGTTAATGCTAGACATGGAGGATAAGTCGATTGCTTGGCAGTAATGTCAACATGACAAATTCTCTGGTCTTCCATGCAGGAAATAGGATCCTTCTGTTGTACCAACCGAACAGTTTGTGTAGGATCAGAAAAGAAGGACTCAACACAAATTCTCAGCAAGAACTGACACAAACATGGATTCTTCATCATTTGGCCAAGATGATGCTCCGTGATGTAAAGCATTATTCAGGCTACTCTTTCCTCTTGCTGTCGGTGCAGCAAGAGAAGAAACAAAAAACTGCATTTGAGTCATACCAACTATTACTCTCACACTTACTCATGACTTCTTGCAATCTGTCCTCCATGTTATGCATACATACAAACACGCACGGCCTCCATCGCCCTTGCTTGCATGATTTTCAGTAACCAAATGTTGACATGCACTGCATAACTTTTTGGGAGATGTTTTCCAGAACGGTTGCTATGACGTGGGCATCCATAAGACATCACTCTGCGTGTTTACCGTTCACGTCTGGGATTATATAACAAGCCCATCTGGATGTCCTAGATTGTCATTTAAAAAAAACAAAAAAAAAAAAAAACTTAAACGGGGCTTAGGCAACGGGGAAAGTGTGTTATTATTACTCGACAGGATAAGCAGTCCACTAGTCTAGATTACCTCTCTTGATTATCTACACAAAGGACATTTGATGCGATATTCCCATTCAGCTGAACAGCCTAATTGCTAAATCATCACAGTCAGAAACTTCACTTCAGCACGTTGCATAACAAATTCCCATAGGGATTATACAGTAAAAATGTATGCAAATATTCGCAGTAAACAGCACTAAAAGATGGCACTAGACGAGGAAGGGAGGGATAAGAGGAGACTCAGAGTATAGCTCACTGACTGCTGAAAGAAAAAAAGGTCTCCTAATAAGGCTTTGGGCCAGAACAGGCCTTGGCATTGCCGCTCCAAATCTTTGGAAATATACAGCAGGAATGAAACACCCTGACGGTGCACGCGATTGCCGTCTACCACTGGTACAAAATTTCCCATAGGTGTTAAATAAGGATGAGATGCTGTGACTGAAGAAAATGAGTCACATTTTCACCTTTCGGTGACTCCCACATGCCATCGTCCTCCTGGACGTGACCAATCCCAGGAGGAGAAATGGATACTGATGGCCCAACAGAACTACCACATCCCCATATGTACCCCACCCACGTATGGAGTTAGTTTACTTATGGTGGAGACTAGACAAGTGTAATGACGAAAGCACATTTGACAGAAAAAAGGTCGATTATAAAGTAGAAAGATGATGACATTTAGCAGGAAGGGACGGTCTAATAAGAGATCATACAGAGTTGGCAAGACCATCTCTGGAGGCTCTCAAATTAATGAATAAAGTAGCATATTTCTGAAGAAACCAATTTGTCTGTTCTGCCATCTTGCATTAGATTGACGACTCCCCACGCTCACCTAATTTAATTTTAAATGTCATTATGTAAGATGACCATTATGGAAAATGCCTTAGTGACAGTGAAGACGAGTGAGCAAAGACAAAAACCGACTGCACTGTGTAAAACCGTAGCTTAAGATAATTAAAAAATACGATTCAGAAAAGTTAGTTGGTGTATTCGAGGTTGACGGGTTGTACAGTAAATCTGTTTGAAGGTACCTGAGGAAAAAGGTGGACAGAAATTATGCCGTGACAGTTTTAAAGAGACACGTCTGTTGAATTCAATAGGTTTCAGTACACACTGTACCTCATCGGACCTGAGCAGGTGGTGACTCTTCTGGTAGCAGATAATTCCTGCTATAACACGGCAAACGGCTCCTGACTTTATCTTCGGTAAGCCAGTTTCACACGCCACACGCTAACAGATATACCTTAATGCAGAGTGTCGCTGAAAGCAAAAAAATGTTACTAGCAAAAGGCTTTCTGGGAACAGTAGTGCAGCGAGTACCACTCGTGGAACCTGAAGGGTTGATTATTGGCGATCCCATCACTCAGTTTCTGAGGTCCTTTTGGTCAAAGACAATCTGACTGGCCAGGTAGATGGCGACAGCTCCAAAGATGGCAGAGCAAGCGATATAGGCAGTGACGGACTGAGCAAACTGAACAATCATGCCCATGAAGAGGGTGGGGAAAACCTGAGAGAGGAGAAAGGTGCTGTCTAAGATGGCAAAGTCCAAGCCCACACCGCGTTTCTCAAAGCCCGACTCGGCTTCGTCCTGCTCGGGGGCGTTGGCGCTGTGAGACGAACCGTTTTGGCTTTGCGGGCCGGGGTAGTACTCGTAACTGTCCTGGCTGAACAAGGCGTGCCTGTAAGGAGGCCCCGTTTGGTGGTTCAGTCCACCCTCCTCTTCCACAGGAGTCAAATACACAGAGTCCCGCATGGCTGTTACACCGTTTTTATGTCTGCTTTTGGTTATTCTTTTTGGCATGTAGACCTGAAATGAGAAAGGAATCATTGACTGTAATCATCTAAAACATGTCTTTGAATATCCAGTTCTTACTTCTATACTTACCTCTATCTCCTTGTGGTAATGGCAGGTGAGTGTGTAAGGGAGGGTCTGCAGTGTCGCGTATGCATAGCCAGTGAGAGCTGCCATTACAGTGACCAAGACGACGCTTTTGGACAGGCAGATGACCAAAGCAGAGACTGTGAAGCTCACCATGCTGCTCAGGTAAACCCACCGGGATCCCAAATGCCGAACCAAACGACTCATAACCAGAGAGAAAAAGGTTGAGGTAGCACACTGCAGGAACAGGCCCATGCTGCCCATACGGATTCCTGAAAGAAACAACAGCGTCCAGAAAGTATAAGAACGAGCAAAACGAGTGAAGGACGATAAAAGATGGATTTATGTCATCAGCTGCAGTCGAATATTCTGCACTGACTCCTTCTAGAAAGCATTCTAGTGAAAAAAAGTGCCTTGGAGTGACGTTTGCTGAACTCTGCAGCACGGACACCTAGTTTGGTCTGACTAATCGTTACACAGCATCAAGTTTAGAATAATGCTGAAAAGAGACACACACAGGCTGACCCAAGGCATGGGCTGTTTGGAGGGGGTGTCACAGGCTGACCAACAGCAAATCTTACTCACTATTGTCAAAGTTCCTGAATCCTTCCTTAGTTATGCTGCAATAGGTGCAAGCTGCTGGGGGGTTCTGGGTGTTTCTTCTTCACTCACTATGTGTTAATAGTAGTGCTGTCAGTGTTAATCTCGTTAAAATGACGTTAACGCCATAACAATTCAATTTTATTTATACAGCACAAAATCACAACAACAGTCGCCTCAAGGCACTTTATATTGTACAGTAGATCGTACAATAATAGATACAGAGAAAACCCAACAATCATGACCCCGAATGAGCAAGCACTTTGGCGACAGTGGGAAGGAAAAACTCCCTTTTAACAGGAAGAAACCTTCGAAAGAACCAGGCTCGGGGAGGGGCGGGGCCATCTGCTCTGATTGGTTGGGGTGAGAGAAGGAAGACAGGATGAAGACATGCTGTGGAAGAGAGACAGAGGTTAATAACAGATGTGATTCAATGCAGAGAGGTCTGTTAACACATAGTGAGTGAGAAAGGTGACTGGAAAGGAAAAACTCAATGCATCATGGGAATCCCCCGGCAGCCTACGTCTATTGCAGCATAACTAAGGGAGGATTCAGGCTCACCTGGTCCAGCCCTAACTATATGCTTTAGCAAAAAGGAAAGTTTGAAGCCTAATCTTGAAAGTAGAGATAGTGTCTGTCTCCTGAATCCAAACTGGAAGCTGGTTCCACAGAAGAGGGGCCTGAAAACTGAAGGCTCTGCCTCCCATTCTACTTTTAAATACTCTAGGAACAACAAGTAGGCCTGCAGAGCGAGAGTGAAGGGCTCTAATAGGGTGATATGGTACTACTGGTGTTGGCCAGAGGGGCCGATGGCGCGATATGGCAGCCTCGCTTCTGTCAGTCTGCCCCAGGGCAGCTGTGGCTACAACCGTAGCTGCCTCCACCAGTGTATGAATGTGAGAGTGAATGAATAGTGGTATTGTAAAGCGCTATATAAATCCAATCCATTATTATTATTATTACTACAAGTAGGGCTGGGCCATATCATACCGTTCACGGTAACACCGGTATAATGTTGGGCAACGATAAGAAAATGAAATATTGTGATAAAATATGGGTAAAATGTGCAGTGCCTTTGTTTTCATACGCACATGGCGGTGACGCAGAATGAGAAGCGCGAGAGCGGATCGTTGAATGAAACGATGAACCAGAACTGGTTTGTAAAAATGCTGCAGCTTCACTGGTGTGGAACTGGTTTGGCTTTCGTCCGTCAGATACACAACAAAGCACTATTTTTGGTAGAGCATGCTAGCGGGCCGTCGTTATTACCGTGTTGTTTGGAAAATACGGCGCACTTAAAATCAATCCTTTGATTTTTCTGAAAGTCGACAGAGCCCCTTATAACCCCGTGTGCCTTATGTATGAACTCTGGTCGTGTTTACTGACCTCGAAACGATTTTATGTGCACGGCGCTCGAAAATCTGTCAAATGTTTCAGTGCGACTTTGCTGAGCTACCAAGCCGCACCGCTTGATGCATTGTGGGAGCATTACGGCTATCGTAGGCGGAGCCTCGCGGAGTGATACGTACTGTGCTTCAACATAATATTACCGTACTGTGTGTGTATAACCTCTTTTTAAGTTTTGTGGATATTATACATGGTTATGCTGAGGATATGTCGGCCAGTTTCCACTGGAAACGCCTTTTGGTTAAACTGTCAGCGAGGAATTTGCACTGTTACATTTTTATATAACATTAATGCACATAAAAAACAGCTGCTTGTTTAAGTGAAAATACATTGATGGGGTTTTTTTTGCACTAATAAAGTTGTGGAGTCGTAAAGTGTTTTGTCTCGTGTTAATTATATCGTCAGTTATATCGTTATCACAAATTTTCAAATGTATATGGTGATAAATATTTTTGGCCATATCGCCCTGCTCTAACTACAAGGTCATTAAGAGGAGATGGGGCCTGATTATTTAAGACCTTGTATGTGAGGAGCAGGATTTTGAATTCTGGATTTAACAGGAAGCCAAAACAGGAGAAATATGCTCTCTCTTTCTAGTCCCTGTCAGGACTCTTGCTACAGCATTTTGGATTAACTGAAGGCTTTTCAGGGAATTTTTAGGACATCCTGATAATAATGAATTACAGTCGTCCAGCCTGGAAGTAATAAATGCATGAACTAGTTTTTCAGCGTCACTCTGAGACAGGATATTTCTAACTTTAGAGATGTTGCACAAATGGAAGAAAGCAGTCTTACATATTTGTTTAATATGAGCGTTGAAGGACATGTCCTGGTCAAAAATGACTCCAAGGTTCCTCACAGTGTTACTGGAGGCCAAGGTAATGACATCCAGAGTAAGAACGTGGTTAGAGACCATATTTCTAAGATTTTCAGGGCCGAGTACAATAACCTCAGTTTGATCTGAATTAAGAAGCAGAAAGTTAGCGGCCATCCAGGTCTTTATGTCTTTAAGACATTCCTGCAGTTTAACTCATTGGTGTGTGTTATCTGGCTTCATGGACAGATAGAGCTGGGTGTCATCTGCATAGCAATGTAAATGTATGCTATGTCTTCTAATGATGCTGCCTAAGGGAAGCATGTATAATGTAAACAGAATTGGTCCTAGCACTGAACCCTGTGGAACTCCATAATTAACCTCAGTGTGTGAAGAGGACTCTCCATTTACATGCACAAACTGGAGTCTATTAGATAGATATGATACAAACCACTGCAGTGCAGTACCTGTAATACCTACAGCATGTTCTAATCGCTCTAATAGGATATTATGGTCGACAGTATCAAACGCTGCACTAAGGTCTAGCAGGACAAGCACAGAGATGAGTCCACTGTCAGAGGCCATAAGAAGATCATTTGTAACCTTCACTAAAGCTGTTTCTGTGCTGTGATGAGCTCTGAAACCTGACTGAAACTCTTCAAATAAACCATTCCTCTGCAGATGATCTGCTAGCTGTTTGACAACTACTCTTTCAAGGATGTTTGATATACCATACCACCTTTATTTATAAAGCACTTTAACATAAAACCAGAGTTCACAAAGTGCTGTACATGCTAAAAGCATAAGTAAAGAAAATTAAAATGAGATAAGATAAAAGAAATAACTAAAAAACTAAAATAAATTGAAACATGTCAAAACAAATTGAGTCAACCCCTCTAATCAATGCCAAAGGCTTCAGCGAATAAATATGTTTTAAGAAGACTTTTAAATTCAGAGAGAGAAAAGGCCTGCCTAACATGCAAGGGTAGATCATTCCACAACTTTGGAGCAACTACAGCAAAAGCACGATCACCTTTAGATTTATACTTAGTTTTTGGTACCTTAAGGAGCTGCTGATTGGCGGGCCTAAGGGAACGGGGAGGTGTACGGTATATGGTTGTAGTAGCTCCGAGAGGTAGGGGGGGCCAGGCCATTAAGAGATTTAAAAGCAAATAAGAGAATTTTAAAAACAATCCTAAAATATACAGGTAGCCGTGGAGTGAAATTAAAATTGGGGTAATGTGCTCAAACTTTTTTGTTCCAGTTAAAAGACGTGCTGCAGCATTTTGCACAACCTGCAGGCGCCTAATGGACGCATCACTAACCCCAAAATAAAGTGCGTTACAATAATCCAGCCTAGAAGTAACAAAGGCATGGATTACTGTCTCAAAATGCTGTTTCGATAAGATAGGCGTTTTATTTTGGCTAATTCCCTCAAATGAAAAAAGCTAGATCTTACAACAGCTCTGACCTGGCTTTCAAGTTTAAGATTTGCCTCTATTTTAACTCCCAGATTAGTGATGACTGGTTTAACATACTGTGCCAGTGAACCAAGATCTATAATAGTGGCCTCAGAAGCACCACCAAAAACCATCACTTCTGTTTTCTGTTCATTAAAATGTAAAAAGTTCAAAGCCATCCAGGCCCTTATATCATCAAGGCATCTGAGCAGCGGGTCTACTGAGAAGCCATTTATCTTTTTAAGTGGGAAATAAATCTGGGAGTCATCAGCGTATGAAAGGAAGGCAAATCTCTGTTAGCAAGTTAGCGCGGATTGCCCCGTGCATGGGGCTGCATGGCACTAATGCATTAACGACCTAACCGCGCTAACGCATCAACGCCGTGCAGCCACACGGCGGGGACAATTCGTGCTAACTCGCTAACGGAGATTTGCCGCATTAAGATCCAGTCATCCACCCATTCACACACACATTCACACACTGGTGATGGCAGCTACATTGTAGCCACAGCCACCCTGGGGCGCACTGATAGAGGCGAGGCTGCCGGACACTGGCGCCACCGGGCCCTCTGACCACCACCAGTAGGCAACGGGTGAAGTGTCTTGCCCAAGGACACAACGACCGAGACTGTCCAAGCCGGGGCTCGAACCGGCAACCTTCCGATTACCTTACCTTCCGATGAGGCGACTGTTGTTGTGATTTGGCGCGGTATAAATAAAACTGAATTGAATTTAAATAATGTTAACAATAAGTGGAAATTTTTAACAATGTGATGCATCTAAAACCAGAGAGACAAGTCTTGATATTACAGGTCACAGTAGACAGTTTTTCAAAAGCAGTATATAATGATTAGAAACACTGTAAATATAATTTTCTAATAATAGCATTGCCCATTTAATTTCATCCTCTCTCTTTCAAAATATTAAAATGAAAACATTTCCATCTTTATAAAGATTCTCAGAATTGTTTAGTAATGAGATTTGCTGCCCAG